TCAGAGAAAGACATGTATCATATGACCTCACTGATATGAGGAATTCTTAATCTCAGGAAACAAACTGAGGGTTGCTGGAGTGGTGGGGGGTGGTAGGAATGGGCTGGCTGGGTGATAGATATTGGGGATGGTATGTGCTGTGGTGAGCATGTGAATTGTGTAAGTGTTGAATCACAGACCTGTACCTCTGAAACAAATAATACAGTATATGTTAAAAAATAAAAAGAATATAGCAGGAATGGAAAAATGAACGGGGGGGGGGAATTGGAGGGGGAGATGAACCATGAGAGACTATGGACTCTAAGAAACAAACTGAGGGTTCTAGAGGGGAGGAGCATGGGGGGATGTGTGTTGAGGGCACATACTGCATGGAGCACTGGGTGTTATATGTAAACAATGAATCATGGAACACTACATCAAGAACTAATGATGTATGGTGATTACCATAACATGATAAAGTAAAAAAAATTTAAAAAAAAGTCAATTCCAACGTTCATGCATGATTTTGAGGGGTTCAAGACTTCATTGGGGAAGGTGAGTGCAGATGTGGTGGAAATAGAGCAACTAGAATTAGAAGTGGAGCCTGAAGATGGGACTGAATTGCTACCATCTCATGATCAAACTTGATGTGTTGAGGAGTTGCTTTTCATGGATGAGCAAAGAGAGTGGTGTCTTGAGATGGAATCTACTCCTGGTGAAGATGCTGTGAAGACTGTTCAAATGACAACAGAGGATTTAGAATATTTTATAAACTCAGTTGATAAAGCAGTGGCAGGGTTTGAGAGGATTGACTTCACTTTTTGAAGAGGTTCTACTGTGGGTAAAATGCTATCAAATAGCATTGCATGCTATGGAGAAATCATTCATCAAAGGACGAGTCAGTTGATTTTGCAAACTTCACTGTTGACTTCTTTTAAGAAATTGCCATAGCAATCCTCACTTTCAGCAACCACCACCCTGATCAGTCAGTAGCCATCAACACTGAGGCAAGACCATTAACCAGCAAAAAGATAGTGACTTGCTCAAAGATCAGATGATGGTTGGCACTTTCTAGCAATAAAATATTTTTAAAATTAAGATAGGTACCTCATTTTTTTAAAAAGACACAGTGCTATTGCATACTTAACAGACTACAGTATAATATAAACATAACTTTTATATGCTTTTGGAAACCAAAAATTTATTTCACTCACTTTACTGGGAAATTCCTCCTATTGTAGTGATCTAGAACCAAACTCACAATATCTCTGAGATATGCCTGTATTTAAAACTGCTGTTACTTCTTTTTGATGAAGTTCAGTCATTTAAGTACCCTTGTCTTTTGGTAAGAGTCTGTGAACATGTAATTCTATGTGTCAAGAGGGCATGGAGGGTGTTGGAAAGATGGCAGGTAGAAAAGGAAATGGGCAAGAGAGTAAAACTTGAAAATAGAGAATTATTTAAAGCCATGTAATGATATTAAAGATATATTAGACAAAATCAGAGATATTAAAAGGACATATTATCTAGCCATCAATCCCTGTATAGGGGATGTTGTTTTTTAAAAATACACTGAAGCCATTTCCATTATTTTCTTTAATAACATACATCAGTATTTGTTAACATTTGTGCTTCATGTTGCACTGCCCAGTTCTTGTTTGGGATTCTATAAAGTTGGAAAGCAGCTGGCTACTGTTTTTTGTAGTTGAACATTTGAGATTTTAATTTCCTTTGTTTAGTCTCTTTTGTGGGTAACATATTCCTAATTTCTTTTTTGTTCTTTTTCCCATTTGTCAATGTTTGTAGACATGGTTTTAAAATAAAGCATATATATTTTTAATTTTTATTACAGAACATGTTCAAATTAGAACATATAATAAATCCCCACTTACCCATCATCCAGCTTAAATAGTTAGCAGTATTCTGTAATTTATTTTTTTATAAAATAAAGGATATTTTATTCAGAGAAATTTAATAATATTCTTTTGTTTTCTCTTAGGTGGTGCTTTGTAAATTTCATTCAGTGTTTCTGTCTCAGAAGGGGCAGGTTTATACCTGTGGTCATGGTCCCGGAGGACGTTTAGGCCATGGAGATGAACAGACATGTTTGGTAATTGAAATGTCATTACACATTTTAGGTAACTTCAGTAAAATTTCCATAACACGGAAAATTCAGTTATTAAAAAAACATTATTTTTAATCTACTGTAAGCAGAGAGTAATATAGCAATTGATAGTAGAGTTAAAACAATTAGTTGGGTCACTTGGGTGGCTTAGTCAGCTAAGCCTCTGACTCTTGGTTTCAGCTCAGGTCCTGTTCTCTGGGTCAGGGAATAGAGCCATGTAATGGGCTTACTGCTCAGCAGGGGCAGTAGGCGAGGGGAAGCAGACTCCCTGTACACTCTCTTTTTCTCTCTCTATGAAATAAATAAATAAATCTTTTTAAAAAAATCAGTTTCTTCGTATATCATGTTCAAATTAAAGGATTTAGATATGCCGAATTCTAAAGCATCAAAGGAAAATTATAGTTTGCATTTGGCAAATACTGGGACAGGAGAGCATATAAATAAGCCTTAAAATATTTCCATAGTTGAAATTTTAAAAGTCAGACTATTGTATTTTTTATTTTTTAAGATTTATTTATTTGATGGAGAGAGAGAACGCATGTGAGCACAAGCAATGGGAGTGGCAGAGGGAGAGGGAGAAGCAGATTCCCCATGCAGGGAGCTCAACATGGCTCGATCCCAGAGCCCCAAGATTATGACCTGAGCTGAAGGCAGCCACTTAACTGACTGAGTCACCCAGGTGCCCCATAAGTCAGACTAATTGCAAAACTTTGGTGGTGTTTTTTTTTTTTTTTTAACTTCTCATCAGAGCATTTGTGGTCTAAAAGTTGAGCCAGGGGACGCCTGAGTGACTCAGTCAGTTAAGCCTCTGAATCTTGGTTTCAGCTCAGGTCATGATCTCACGGACTGTGAGATTTAGCCCTGTGTAGGGCTCTGCACTCAGTGGGGAATCTGCCTGAATATTCTTTCCCTCTGCCCCTCCCCTTTCTTGCGTGTGTGTGCTCTCTCTAAATAAATAAATCTTAAAAAAAAGTTTAAAAATTTGAGCCCATATTTTCATTGTATAATCACAAAATTGAGTCTTATGGTACTGAAACTTAGTGCTAATTGGAAGAAACCTAATAATTATTGCATTCAATAAAGTTGCCTCAGTAGGTTTTTTTTAAAGGTAAATTTATTTTGATGGGATTCTGATATATTTATCTATTAAAGGGCTTTAAAAAGAAGGGACAGCTATGACGACACCCATTTTTCATGGGTTTGTTATGTTCTAGGCATCAGTGATGCTTTTCAAGCAGTATCATTACCTTGACTTAAGCCTCACAGCAACGCTTTGAGATTATAGACATTATTATTTTCATTTTATGCAGTGCCAGACTGTTGTTTTTTATACTTACCAACTCATTTACTCTTCACACCTGTATTTTCCTGGATTTTTATTTATTTTTTTCAATACATCAGTGGATACTTTGGCTGAAGAGCTCCCTTTATTTATACCAACCAAATTTGCACTTGGTGTATGACGAGGGCTCAAAAATCATTTGTTGGATTGAATTATTTTACTGAAATGTCATACTGGGGTTTTGTATTTTACTCATAAACCAATGTCCATATCCTGTTAAACTCACCTATCCCTTGCTAAATTGTAGAGTTTACCTATGATAGATCAGCCATTTATTAGTCATGTCATTTTGGATATAGTATCACCAGATTCTATTTGTATTTTTGTATAAATGATTAATATATTATAGGATGTGAGGGCGATCTGGCTGTGACATCTGTCACCCCATTGATTGCCAGGGTTGATTCAGCTGATCTGGCTGGCTAGGCAGGTGTCCCCTTCCTCCCTTACCTCTCCATGTGCGTCTCTCCCGAAGCTGTGCGCTCAGTCGAAGAGGACGACCTTCCCTGATAGAGGAGGACCATTCTTGGGTCAGGGGTATATGAGTAGCTGCATTCCCCTGCAAGTACCTCCAAACAAGCTCTCAAGTCCATTTGTAGCAGAACGTAGGGTAGTCAAGCTTCAAGACTCCAGATACATCCAAATGAGGCGCTGCACGTGGTAGTCTGCCTTTCTTTAAGAAGAAAAAAAAGAAAAATATATTAAAGTTAATTTTATTTTGTAGATCCCTAGGCTTGTGGAAGGACTGAGTGGTCATAATTGTTCCCAAGTGGCAGCTGCTAAGGATCATACTGTTGTACTGACTGAAGATGGATGTGTTTATACATTTGGTCTGAATATTTTTCATCAATTAGGAATTATTCCTCCACCTTCCAGTTGTAATGTACCCAGACAGGTAAGCTTCCTTTTGAAAACAAGGTGACTATTTGGTATAAAACCTGTATGGACAAAAAGATGGAAGGTATTGATATGCAATTTATTTTACTTATATTTGATGATATATACTTTATTTTTCACAGGAGACATTAAGCATAGTACAAATTAGCATTTGTTTGGAGTAAGAGAGAAGGCACTTGGGAAATTAGGCCCCAAAGTGCTTTAGTTTCAGCTTTTTAAGTATTTATAAGCAGAGGGGGATCCACATTTTTGGGGTTTGAAACAAATAATTTTGAGGCCCTCCTTAAGAAAAAATATGAAGTTTATAAATGCAAAATGGCCATGTAAGTGAGTTACCCAGAACACTAAGCTTATTGGCCTCATGGAAAATCTTCCTCTGCACCGAAAATATACATGGCAAGTTATTTGAAGGGACATGGGTCCAAAAGCCACTGTTCTTTGTTTTAATTTCCCCCCTCCCATTTGCACAGCCACTACCAGAAGGTACTCTTTACTCAAGAGTACTTCACAGACCTAGTTCAAAGAACTAGGTTCTAGTATCATCACTCAATAACAAATGAGTTTTCAGCTCAAAAAATTTTGTATTTCAGAGGTGAAGTTTTTTTACTGGTTTAATCCTCTGGATTTAAGATTATTATTAGATATACATTTTTATTAATAAACTTTTAGATCTAATGCTTTTCCATTCTGGATGACTAATGAATCAATAGGAATTACTGAGAAGTTGTTGGAGGTAATCTCCAATCTGTGGTACTTTTTGGTTGGAAGATCCATTTTCTACAGACGTGGACTTCGTGGATATTTAATCATAGATTTCTTTACAAATGATAGATTTTATTCCTGTATTTATTCTTACTGTGTGGCTATCTTGGAGCTTTAGGATGATACGGACATATTCAGTATTCTCAGTTACTTTTGCATCCCCAGGAGTCATTTGGCAATGTGCAGAGACATTTTTAGTTGTCACAACTGGGGGTGGGAGTGGAAATGGTGCTACTGACATCTAGGGATGCTGCTAAAACTACAGTTTACAAGGTAGTCCCCTACAACAAAGATTCATCTGGCTGAAAATGTCAGTAGTGCCACTGTTGGGAGACCCTGAATATGTCCAGTATTTTTTCTTTTCTTTCCTTTTTTTTTTCCTTTAATTTTTTAATCCCCATCACTTGTTTCATTCATTCCCCAACCTACCTCCCCTGTGGTGACCATTAGTTTGTTCTCTACAGTTAAGGGTCTCTTTCTTGATTGGTTTTTGTCACTCTCTTCTTCCTTTGCTCTTTTTTTTTTTTTCTTAAATTCCACATATGAGTGAGATTATATGGTATTTGCCTATCTCTGACTGACTTCTTTTTTTTTTTCCCCTCAGCATTGTACTCTCTAGCTCTATCCATGTTGTTGCAAATGACAAGATTTCATTCTTTTTTGATGGCTGAATAATGTTCCATTGGGGTGTGTGTGTGTGTGTGTGTGTGTGTGTACACACACATACATCTTTATCCATTCATTTATTGATTGGCACTTGGCTGTTTCCATAGTTTGGTTATTGTAAATAATGCTACAATAAACATAGGGGTGCATGTATACCTTTAAATTAGTGTTTTTGTGTTCCCTGGTAAATACCCAGTAGTATGATTCCTAGATCATAGGCTAGTTCTATTTTTAATTTTTTGAGGAACCTCCATACTGTTTTCTACAGTAGCTGCAATAGTTTGCATTCCCGCCAACAGTACAAGAGGGTTCCCCTTTCTCCACATCTTTGCCAGCACTTACTGTGTTTTTTATTTTAGCCATTCTGACAGGTGTGAGGTGGTATCTTATTGTAGTTTTGATTTGTATCCCTGATGATCATCTTTTTATGTGTCTCTTAGCCATCTGTATGTCTTCTTTGGAGATATGTCTGTTCATGTCTTCTGCCCATTTTTTAATTGGATTATTTGTTTTTTGGGCATTAAGTTGTATGAGGTCTTTATATACTTTGGATACTATACCTTTATTGGATATGTCATTTGCAGATATCTTCTCCCATTCCATAGGTTGCCTTTTAGTTTTGTTAATTGTTTCCTTCGCTGTGTAGAAACTTTTTATTCTGATGTGGTTTATTTCTGCTTTTGTTTCCCTTGCTTCAGGAGACATATCTAGAAAAAAGTTGCTACAGCCAGTGTCGGATACTTTACTACTTGTGTTCTCTTCAAGGATCTTTGTGGTTTCAAGTCTCACATTTAGGTCTTTAATCCATTTTGAGTTTATTTTGTGTATGGTGAGAGAAAGTGGTCCAGTTTCTTTCTTTTGTATGTTGCTGTCCAGTTTTCCCAATACCATTCATTGAAGAGACTGTCTTTTTCCCATTGTAAACATTCATTCCTCCTTTGTTGAAGATTAATTAACCATATAATTGTGGGTTTATTTCTGGATTTTCTGTTCTGTTCCATTGATCTATGTATCTGTTTTTGTGCTAATACCATACTGTTCTCATTACTACTGTTTTGTAATATAACTTGATATGTGGAATTATGATACCTCCAGTTTTGGTTTTCTTTTTTGAGATTGCTTTGGCTATTCTTGGGATGCAAGGGTGGTTCAATATTACTACAAGAATCAGTGTGATATGTTACATCAATAGGAGTCATCTGGCTGAAAATGTCAAGAGTGCCACTGTTGAGAGACCCTGAATATATCAAATTTAAAAGTACTGTATTTTCTGATAGAATGAGAATGCTGGGTTTTACATACTGCTTGTTGACAGGTTGGATGATTTGGTTTTTCTATCATGTCAATGTTTTATGTGTTAAAACTGCTGATTTAAAGTGGTTACATCAAAGTATCTTGTGTTCTGAGAAGAGTTGGATTCTCAGTGTTAGTGCTAAGATCTATTAGTGAATTCTGCCCTTACTGGTAGTTAGCATGCTATATATTTGCTACTCTGGTCTACTGGATCTTTTAAAAATTGTACAAGTTCTTAATAATATAATAAACTGCTGTCTTGTCTTTTTGAACAGATGCAGGCAAAATATCTGAAAGGAAGGACAATCATTGGAGTAGCAGCAGGCAGGTTTCATACAGTGCTGTGGACTAGAGAAGCTGTTTACACTATGGGGCTAAATGGTGGACAACTGGGTAAGAAATCTTGATGACGATATCTGAAAAATAAATTGAATTTTTAAAATGGATATTTTGTGATTTATTTGTAATTTTTTTAGGTTATTTGCCAGATCCCAATGGAGAAAAGTATGTAACTGCTCCTCGTCAAGTCTCTGCCCTTCATCATAAGGATATCACTTTGTCTTTGGTTGCTGCAAGTGATGGGGCCACAGTCTGTGTTACCACAAGGGGAGATATTTACTTACTTGCAGACTATCAGTGCAAGAAGATGGCTTCTAAGTATGTGTATTTATGTAAAGAAATATAACTTTAATAATTTAAATTCAATTCTTCCAGCAAAACTCTGAGTATCAGCTTTATGCTATGCTCTGGAGTGTCAGATGGAGAAAACTGGACGGAGAAAATTTAAAACTGAAAGGGAAAGTCAAGAGTAGAGTAAACGTGTGCATTCTCAAGTGGGGCTTTAGGTGTCGAAAGTGTGTATATGTATGGGTAGAGTGGCATTTGGGAGGGAAGGACTTGCTATAAAAAGAAATGGCCATTATATAAGGGAAACTTAGAGAAAGGAGGGACTAAGGTTATCAAAGGCCAAATCGTCTTACTTCACCTTTCACATTATATCACCCTAGATTATTGTTTGATTAGTAATTTCTTTAAAATTGAGCATGTGTATTTTAGAGAATATATTAATGAAAAATTTTCTTTTTGACCTAGACAACTAAACCTGAAAAAAGTTCTTGTTTCTGGGGGGCGTATGGAATACAAGGTTGATCCTGAAAATTTGAAAGAAAATGGAGGTCAAAAAATTTGCATTCTTGCAATGGATGGAGCTGGAAGGGTGAGTGTATATTTATGCAGAAGTGTATTAAAGTAATTTTGTTCTGAGTTGATAGCTATAAGGGACCTGGTAATGTGAACATGTATTACTATGGTAATGATTCCTATTGACTTTCTCTACTTATTTTTGACATCCAGTACTAATTAGTATGGAGCTGGTATTTCAAAGAAAGTTTGATGACATTTAACTAATGTTACACAGTACAGCTTTGTTAAACTGTAGCTTAAAATTTCATTTACTGTACTTAAAATGGAAATAAGGGATTTTGATGGATTATTTGATATGTATACTGAGTACTGATGAAGATATCGAATTGCATAGATAGGAGATATTTTATATAACTGCTCCTTAAAAAAATTAAAAGCTAAACAGGTGATATTAAAAATTTGTTGCATAATTAGAAAATTTTTCCCAGATTTAGTTTTAAACAAATGTAGACATAATGTATATTTTTAGAGACTATAGCTGCATTTCTAGATCACCGTAGGAAGAATCTCTAATCTCTTTCCATTTAAGTAGAGTTCAATTTTGTTCCTTCTGCAAATATATCAGTACATTTCTCTAATGAAATTCTTAAATTAAAATATACATTAGTAACACAAAGAGTTTTACACTGTAGCTAGAAAAACACAGATTGCCTTCTGCTTTTTGCTTGTCAAATAGAAATATACAACGAGAATGTTTTCTGAGGTTTATAAAGTGCTATAAAATTTGACATTTTGGAAATTGAAGAATTAATCATAAAGCTCCACCTACTGGTACTTAACAGGTATAAATCTGTAGTCAATCATTTTAATATGGGGAACTATATTAGAATTAGAACTCTAATTTTGTACTAATGGAAGGAAGCAGTGGCATGGGATTACATAAAATAGTATAAAAAAATTTGACTCTAGGATGTGTTTCATTTATGTTAATATGGATGTAGTGTATACCTGTGGATTGTTACTTTCTGGAAAATTACAATCTTACTATGAAAACCAATCTCTGAAGGAATCAATCAGTATAGTCTTTTTTTTTTTTTTTAATGTAACTTTTGAGTGATTGGCAGATACCATTTTGTGTTTTAGTTTTCTTAAATATGAGGGGAATTGAACTTTCAAAAATCATTAGTGTTAATTTTTCAAATGAAATCTTTCTTGGAATGTAAATATATGAAGCAGACAAGAGTTACTGTTCTGGATAAAACTGGATTGGGAAACTCAACACCATACCTCTCATTATTCTCTCCAGAATTGAGCAGCAGGTTCTAAGTCATTTCTCAGGAATACTAAGGTTTGCAGAACCTCGTGGAAGCCATTGAACTCTATTAGGATTTTTCTGTCTGTAAGATTTTGTTTTAGTTATATAATTGGGTTATTCATACATCTCCTTTTTTTCTTGAGATTTAAAGTTTGGATTTTCAATAGGGTGATTTTCATTCTTGCAAACAGATGGTATTACAAGTCTGATATCTAAGTTTTAGCTTTCATATTTTTGTTTTAAGCATTGTAGCAGATAGATTTGCAAAAAACAAGTAATATTGAATATTACTTCTTTTTTATTGTTATGTTAGTCACCATGCATTACATCATTAGTTTTTGATGTAGTGTTCCATGATTCATTGTTTGCATATAACACCCAGTGCTCCATGCAGAACGTGCCCTCTTTAATACCCATCACCAGGCTAACCCATCCTCCCACTCCCCCCCCCAGAACCCTCAGTTTGTTTTTCAGAGTCCATCATCTCTCATGCTTTGTCTCCCCCTCCGATTTCCCCCCCTTTATTCTTCCCCTCCTGCTATCTTCTTTTTTTCTTTAACATATAATGTATTATTTGCTTCAGAGGTACAGATCTATGATTCAACAATCTTGCACACTTCACAGCGCTCACCATAGCACATACCCTCCCCAATGTCTATCACCCAGCC